ATATATATATATATATATATATATATAGTTCACTACCAGCAAGCAGAAATATTTCTCCTCCCGATGATGGCCATTTCGGTCGAAACTAGTCGAGGAATCTAAATGGAATAATAATAAAAAAAACGAAAGAATATTAATCTACAACCCAGTATGTCCAAAGATTTTAATTTTTAATTTTTTATTTTCTTATTGTTCAATATATATATATATATATATATATATATATATATATATATATATATATATATATCAAAGAGAAAAACACATTTATGAAGAAATATATACATTATTAATCTGAAAACAATAGAATTCAATCTCAAATTTTGTTCTTTGTTGTGTCCGAAGAATGAAAAATGTAAATAAAGTTAGCTTAAAAAATTAAACAAGAAATGAAAGGAAAATCCGTTGATTTTTGTTGAAGTTATTTTGTGTCGGACAATCAAATTGACTGATTGATTGAAAATTGAACAAGGCAATAATGTACTTGGCTTTGTATTTGGCTTTCAGGTTTAATTTCGATAGAGGAAAATAAAAGAGGATTCGATGTAAATAGTCACACAGTTTATTTTGTGCAGGAAGGATTGAAGGAAGCAGAAGATGAATCTGTAGAAAGGAATATTTAAACAAGTCTAAAAAGGGAAGTAGGGAAGTCACGGATTGACGTCGTGTCTATAATAGCATCTATAATGATCTATAATGATCTATAATGATCTATAATGAGACCAATAGTTTGAAATAAAGTATATTGACAATTGCCCATGTCAAAAATAAAATACAATATTATTAAAAAGAGATACAAACCCGTCATGACTTTGAATATGAAAGGCTCCAAAAATACACCACTGATGTCCTTCGTGTGCCATAGTGGATATAGGAGTTGGTTAAACATGTGTTGATGTCAGCGAAAAGTTGTGATTTCAATCCATGTATCAGGCAGTGAAAGAATATTCACTGATTGAGCAGGAACGAAGAACATCAGACAAAAAAAGTAATAAGATAAAGAACAAATAGAAAAATGTTATCAATCTAACATTTTTCACTTATATTTGATATCTATCTATCTATCTATCTATCTATCTATCTATCTATCTATCTGTGACGTCGTCCCCCGGTCGCAGCGCCGACTGTGACGTTCTATCCTGATCTACCACGGCGCCAGTTGTGACGTCCCCAAACAGCACCAATTGTGACGTCCTCGCCGCGGCGCCAGCTGTTCGCTCCTCGCTGCTCCGTTCGGGTGTCGCTGCTCCAAACGTGACGTCCGCCTGTCGCGTCAGTCGTGTTGTCTCGTCCTGTGACGACCAACTGGCTTGGTATCAGTCGCGGCACCCAAATGTAACGTTCTAACCTTTTGGTGATTCGGGTGGGAATCTGGTTAGATTTGATATCAGCCTCGTCGTTCCCAACTCGCTTCCAACGCCTGGTTACCAGGGTAACTGCATTGATCTCCAGTCTGCCTACCCACGTTGTGAATTGATCTTAGACAGACGAGATCAAACAGTGGTTGGGGCCGTAATGCAAACTGAGTTCAACGGGGGTGATACTACACAAATATGCATAAAAGAAAATAAAATGAAAACTCAAAAAGTTCAAAGTATCAAAGAAAAAGGTAACAAACTTTATGTCTAGTTGTTCGATACATAGGACTGCATCTATCCCCCGACCCGTTCTGTGGATTGTGACACGTCGTTTTCCGTTAGGCAAGTCTTTAACGCTTCAAGTTGTTTGCTCTCTAAGAAATTGGCGTTTCGGTGTGTCTTTGGACGAAAGTCGAAAAAAAACTTATTTCGGTGGTCTGGTTCTGAGTCGCTCTTCAAAATAATTGTTCTTGGGTTGAAGAGGAGTCCGGAATTTTGCGTGAATCTTGGTCAGCTGAACACACTGGAACTGCTGGAACTCAACTCTGGAAACTCAACTCTCCGCTGGAGCCCGAACTCTCTGATTTCTGCCTGTTGGGGCCTCGCTTTTATTGACGCCGACCAAAACCGGGGTGGGTCTGTCGGCGTCGGGGGGTTCCGCGATAATTCTAAATACATATCCACCTCTTTTATTTCTGGTTCGGGATTTTCCATTCTTTTCCATTTTTGGGAACCTTTCCTTACTCCCACTTTCTCACCATACTTCAGAGGGCGTGAACTGCCCTCCCCACTTCTTCGTAGCAGCTTCTCATACTTATACTCTGGATGATGTCTTAGTCGGGCGTGAACAATCCGCGGCCTTGTTTCGGGGAAAAAAATATCTTGCTTAACTAAAAAAAAATTATCTCTTCTCTTTCCCTTTTCTTCCGTTTTAATCGCCGTTATCATTTTTCTAGCCGGAAACGGACAATATGACAACTCTTGTTCTACACGTGGTTTTTGTCAGGTATTTTATCGCTAATTATCAAAATGGGTGGCCTTCTTAACACGGCCTCAAAAAAGAAATATCTCTAAAGTTTCAGTCAGTCTGTCGCCTCCAAGGAAGAAGAAAAAACACTTCTGGGTCCCCATTCATTTTCCTTAGGTACATATTTCTGATAACATAATTTTATTATCGCAGGCCAAAGTTGTTTCGTCGAAAAAAAAATCGGTCAGCGGACACTGCTTGTGTGGCTTTTAATTTTTCATATCTACCCAAAGTCCTGTAGTTACACCTGTGTTTTGTCAATTATCAAAATTAACGTTTTCAATTGAATTTTTCGTTGGCCAGCCGACCAGCCGTTTTGTTTACGTACTCCTAGATAACACAGCCGTTATCAAAACACATCTGTTTCTTTCTTTCTTTCTTTCCCTTTCTTCTTACTCAGAATTTCCCTGTCATTGTAATGACACCCTTTCGCCATGGTTACTTATCAATATTTTCATTGTCTCTTAGCCGTGTGTGTGTCTGCTTATTACCCACGATTCGTCTCGCCTTTCTTTCTGCCTTCTTTTCTTTCTTTTCCTTTCTCTGCCTCGTAAATGGTGCCACATATCTATCTATCTATCTATCTATCTATCTATCTATCTATCTATCTCAGTCTGTTTATCTATCTATCTATCTATCTATCTATCTATCTATCTATCTATCTCAGTCTGTTTATATCTATCTATCTATCTATCTATCTATCTATCTATCTATCTATCTATCTATGCTTAAGTTTGTCTTATTTATTCCTATCCGATTTTTTCATCTTTAGAAGACTGGCACCCTTGTTTTCAGAAAAAAATTATTTGAATAATCAAGATGAAATGAATATATAGAACACCAGAACTTCGATTAAAGAATATATTTTATTTTATTTTAACATATCATTTTTATTATAATACGACAATCGATAAGTTCCATTAAAATAGGTTGTTAATTTTATCTGATGTAGACGTATTTTTATGCTTTACGGATTTGAATAATTCGCCGCGAGTGAAAGGAAATCTGTTCTTCTATTTAAAGTAGCAAGCGACTGGGAGAGCTTGGAAAATTTCCAGAATTGAAACATAGTCAGGAAAAAAAAATAATAAATTATGCATATAAAAGAATTCAAACGAAAAAAAAGCAATTATGCCACTGATTCCCATTCATATATTTTATTAAGTGCGCAGTAGATCAACGAAGATCAAATTAGTAAGTTCAGGAAAAAAAAAGATTAAAAACAATATCGTTTTAGTGTAGAATAAAAAGGGATCAGTCTCTCTCTCTCCCTCTCTCTCTCTCACATATACACACACAAGCACACAAAAAATCCACAAACACACACACACACACACATACACACACACACACACACACACACACACATATATATATATATATATATATATATATATATATATATATATATATGTATTTATATGATAGCCTCTATGGTTGTTTTCACCGTATGAGAATCCCAGTGCTCCGCGAACTGAACTGTCAAAATACCCTGGCGAGATAATTCGGTTATAGTTGTGGAGGCATGTACAGAGTCATCCACACTTTTCGGAAGAACTGAATACAGAAAAACGGTGCACAGTGTGACACGAAGTCGAGTTGTCTTCTTTCTAGACTGGTTGCCAGCCAATGCTAAAGAATTCGATTTGTCTTACTATTTGAGCGATAGTAAGGTGGAGAGGAGAGGATATGGATTCAGAGTGTTTGCGTTAAACTTAACAGAAAGAACTCGACTGGAATTCAAACTTCCCAGCCGTGAACCATTACACTAAGTCATACACCATCACTATATATATATATATATATATATATATATATGAAAACTGTTGTCAACACCGAGCGGTGACAGTCTTGAACACACTCTCCAGAAAAATAAAATGAAATAAAATTAATAAAATCCTCAACAGATAATTAAACAAATTAAGTAAATAATAAAAATCTCGACAGTTCTGGCTACCCATAAAACAACATATATAAATAGTTGAGCGTAAACACAACACACATGGCCTGAAGATTTAATTCAAGCATAAAACAGATTCTCACCGCTAAATAATAACCACAGTGTCCTTTTTAATATATATATATATATATATATATATATATATATATATATATATACGCTCTAACCCTGATATCGAACACTTTTACCAATAAATATAGTACACCTTAAAACTATATTTATTTTCATAAATGTATATATATAATATATATGACATAAAATATAGTTATTATAAAAATATATATGTGTCTGTGTTTGTGTGTATGTGATAAAAAATATATTTTTATAATAGTTATATTTTTTATGATATATATATATATTATGATAAAAATATATTTTTGCGTTATGCTATATTTATGGGTATGAGTGTTCGATATCATGGATATTAAGACATTGCTCTACTATCAATAAACGTTGCTAACGAAGATCATCGTCGACCTGAAGTGTAATGTGATGCATTTTAATTTCGAAGGTTTTTTGTTAGTTCATCTCTCGCCGAGAGCTTGATGACTGTGATTTTGTGGCAAATACAACTTCGTCCAACCGACAAATATCGAGTAGATAGTTTTAACGTGTAATTTGAATGGAAACGGGGAATTTGTCTGTGTATACAAATTCACTGTTTTCTATGTAACCAGTTGAAGCTGCGTGAACTGCCTGAATAAACAGACGTTTCGTAATATTTGCTCATACGCTGTGTATTTGACGAGGGACAGGCTAATAGGGGAAAAAAAAACCCAGAGAAAATCCAAAGGCTCCGATGTAAATATTTGAAGATCATTCACGTGGAGAAGAGATGGTTATTTGATTAGAGTTAATCGAAGGATATCACGAAAGATTATGAGTTGTTAGCGATCGGCTAACAAGATGGCGCTTATATGCGAGATAGACAGGTACTATGTCAGTTTTTATTATACAAGTTCATGTTTTTACAATAAATTTGTTGTTATTAGCCAACCGATGTTGGTTAAATTCTTAGGATACACTTCAGAGTCTACCTATTTTTCTGAAATGAGGTATTATGTACATTATTTACATTATTCGGACTATTGTCCTCATCTTTGTCGTCATATTTATCACAACGTTTCGGCCGTAGGATACACTTATATTTACAAGATTAAGATGAATAGGACATCTTTATAAATTCGCAATGTTTCACTAGTGATTTAGTTTCATCAGAATTTTGAGAGTGGAACGATTTGGACTTTTTAAATTGCATGTTGTTTTGAAATATAAATCCGAATCCTTCCATCTTTTCAAGTCAAGATTTGATTGTTATTTATCCTAGATATCCCCCTAACATGCACCTCTTAGTTGGGTAATTACAAACAGTTTCAAAAAGTAGCCGTCGTGAAGGTTCTCAGATTTCATTCAAATTTTCACCATTTGTTAACATTCATCAGAGTAGATGAGACCTCATTTCAAACAGATTTTGTGCCAGTCTCACTGAAAGAATATTTCATTGGTTTCCTTTGAAACTTTTCTCCCTTTATTATGAATCACTCAAATTCAATCAACTAATCGCACTCTCCTGTCTCCTAAGTGAAATTTTAAAAAATCCTGGATTTAATAAAGACACATGCAAACCACATCATCAGTGTGCATCAAAAACTTCACAAAAAAGCCAAAAAAAGCCCAACAAAACAGACCCTCTCATATCACATTTCAGTGAGAGATCTCTAAAAAACAAAACATCAATGATTTCAAAATTTTCAATATCTTCATAATCTTAGAAGTAGAATAAAATCTGTTTGAAATGAGATATCATGCTGAAATTTTCAGGATTAACTACTCTGATGAATGTTGACAAATGGTGTAAATCTGGAATGACCTAGCTTATAAAATTTATACCTCCAAAAATCAAATTATTAACGTTCTACCATCACCGAGCAAATCTTAACCGTTCATTTATCAAAATGGAGGCCACTCTCATTGAATACCAATTGGTACTAAAGCTCACCTTAGAACTCTCGTTCCATGGTAAATGTTCAGATGAGCCACCCTCCTTGGTTCCACCAGTTCTGAATTTCGCAGCGAAGCCCCCGCCATGCCAATTAGACGGAGGCGAATGATCCTCATTCGATTCGTATTCCATTAGTAAGAATGAAGTTCCACTCGGGCAGAAAACCCACACTATTGATTTAATTAAAGTGGTGAAGGCTTGTGCAAAACCATACACACTTTTCGGAACTATTGATACACATTCGATGCAAATAAATGCCACAGACGAAGCAGACAATATACCTCAGGCTTTTCGTGTAAGAGGTTTCAATCTCCTAGACCAATCGTGTTCTATAACACTAAAGAGCTTGGTCAGCCCTGGTAGACACTATATGCCCATAGCTGGGACCCTAACAGGTGCTACCACCCCAGGCCAGGGTGGACCTGGGAACAGCAGCAATTACAATGTGGTTCCACGTTCCTCAAATCCTCCAATCTCCCGATGAGAAGACTTGCTGCCGGATGTAGTTTATTGTCATACCCAGGACATAAATTATATACATACATACATATATATATATATATATATATATATATATATATATATATATATATATATATATATATATATATATTTGTATATATATATATAATTTGTATATTCTTTTTTAAGTAATAGTATAGTTATTGATATTTATTTCTTAATTTCATATATACAAAGATTGGCGTATGTTATAAGATATAAGATCAAAAATGAAAAACATAATATAAAGTTATTAAGTGATGGGAATACATTATTGGAAATAAACAGAAGCCATGGAACAAATCACATGCAAAATCTTACGAATATTAACTAAATATATAAAAACAACTTTTGAATCAATATAAAAAAATTTATATTTAAGTTAAGCGATTTAGTACAATGGTTTCATAGCACAGAGCCATCACATTGAATTCTGCTAGCAATGGCGTAAACCTCAGATTAGGAGTGTAAATCGATTGATAGGATGAGGGGAGGACGTCACAATTGGTGCTGTTTGGGGACGTCACAACTGGCGCCGTGAGTGTAAATCGATTTGTAGGATGAGGGGTTATCATTATTTACACTATTTATATTCGAACTGTTGTCCGCATCTTTATTGTTATTATCACAACGTTTCGGCTGTTGTGCCCTCCGGCCTTCATCAGGTGTACATCGGATTCTGAACTGAACCGATTATTTAATCTACAGAGATAAACTTCCCATGTCTAGCGATATCGTCTAGTTTTTTATTATTTGTTCTGTTATTGTTTGCCCGTTTCCACTTAGTGCAAGTGCACACTGCCGGCCCAGGGAATGAACTCATAATAACTATGCCACCAATTTCACGAACTGACGCCTTAATTCACTAGACTATTGTCCCATACGACAATTCGCTGAAGTGGAAAAATAATTAGTCGATATTCATAGACATGGAACGAGAACAGTCTACCCTCGTTGATTAAATAAAGGGTTCAGTTCAGAATCCCCTGTATGTTACCCAGATCGATATACATTTGAAGAAGGCTGAAGGGCATCACGACCGAAAAATTGTGATAACAACAACAAAGATGAGGACAGTAGGCCGAAAATCAATAGTGTAAATAATTACAATGGCAATGTTTTCAATTTTTCGTCAAAAGCACATTCTATAATTATATTTTTAATTACAGCATAATGCTTCTTGGAGTTCAGTCACATGTCTAATTATGTGAAAATTAAAAAAAAAAGCGGTAAACATAATAAACTGTTGCTACATTGTAAGAGTGACAAGTTGCCTACAATAATCTATGTCTAGTATGCAAAATATCCTGTATATCATTAGTGCAAATGTTTCTGTGAATCCCTTTATTAGGAAAAAAGTGGCAAGGTGTGTTAATGCATTTATAGAGTTCGATAGACGGCAAAGTTATCAGACGGGACAATTTGATACTTTAAGGAAACCATTTTTCAATGCGTGCTTTCATATTGTAGTCTTGTCTAACTTAAATTGTTATAAAGGCGCGTAATATAGCAGGATTAATCTGATATTATATATATATATATATATATATATATATATATATATATATATGTATATATTATTTCATCCCAAATAAGGCAATAAAGCCACTAAGATGGAAGTGGTTACTGCGAAAAACATTTTTAAGGAGAGAAACAATAAAAGAACAGTAAGGAGTCAGAAAATAACAATTGACATTGGATTTAAATGTTTGAAGATCTAAGTTGACTGAAAAGTAAGAAGCCGGAAGAGCGAGGAGTGTGAAAGAAGAAATTGTTAAAATAAAACTTACGGTTGCATCTAACCATTTCAACTGTAAAATGACGAATGAGACCTAACTGCCAGTCTAGTACTGCGCTTAAATTCATGAAGTCGATATACCAAAAGATAACTCAACAGAACAATTAGCATGAAAATATTGATAGAAATATATCTGATATACACACATACGTATGGTTTTGGAAGAAAGAACAGTTATAGAGATTTAGAAATCTAATAGACAGTAATTGAGTGAGTGAGACAAATTGAAGTATATGAAGGTTGAGCTTGAAAATCTATCCTGGCAGCGTGATAACTGTTTTTCAGATTTCAAATCAAGGTAAACGTGTATAATTGAAAATCTTTTTTCATTACCTTGTAAAAAATTCCGCCTTGAGATGCGATAATTTCTTCCAAGTTTTCACTCTGAAGAGGATTTTATGTGGCGCCAGTATTGGGAGTTTTTAAGTTCAGGTAATTTTTTTTCTTTTTTCATTCTGAAAGACAAAACGAGGGAAAAAAAAACGTACTCAGTTTTAATTTCATCAGAAAAAAAACACAAACAAAATTCAATTCCAAATTAATTAAGGAAATGTCGGGAAAAATAAAAGAAAGAAAATTTTGATAATATACATAGAGATAGACATATTATTATTATTATTATTATTATTATTATTGTTGTTGTTGTTGCTGGTGAGATTCAGAAGCCTTAACAGACATCGAGAACAGTTTTACATTTAAAAGATGTGCCATTTTCAGATCAGCATCACAGATCAACTTAGATCATCTGGTATTTGCTGGTGTGTTTCATATACTCCAAAAACACCAACTGAAAAAATGGCTAGAATTTATTAGTAGAAAGGGCACAGTAATCGATCAGGATAACCCTAGACTACATGTTTGTTTGGTGAACTACATGTTTGTTTGGTGAAAAATTGTTCGAGTGTGGCTGTAAAATTTTCATTCATTTGCCATATTCATCAAAAATTGATATTCCGTGTTAGCATTTATTTCTGACATTAGAAAAAAAAAACAATCCTTATAAAATTTTCAAAGACAGTTCTTTCGTGAAGAAAATGAAGAGAAATTCTTGTGGTTGGAATTATTAAATTGCTTGAAAGCTAGAACAAAATAGTGGGACGAAACGGTAAATGTGTTGTTACATAATTTAAATTTAAAAAAATATTATTTCATTCTTACTAAGCCGGATGTTCTTTTTCTGTCTGTCTTTCACTTTCTCTCTCTTTTATCCTATTCTCTCTCTTTTATCCTATTCTCTCTCTCTCTCTCCCCCTCTCTCTCTCTCTCTATATATATATATATATATATATATATATATATATATATATCGTACTATTAACCTCACCTTATTTAACAGTGGAAATGGAGTGTTAAAAGTTTTTTTTTTTTTAGAAATATGCTCACGCGAATTCTAGCACTGCACAAGGGGCGAAGACTCGGAATAAATGTTACTATTCAAAACAACACAAAAATAAA